CTTTTGGGAAGAATGTGGGCAAATGTAGTTTCCTACAAATCTTCAGGCCTTCATCTTCAGTGTGTCTGCTTATAGCAGCAATACACCTAATATACAACAAGCATTAGACTCTGCTGAAGCTGTATAAAAAGAATAATGTAAAAAGTCAAGGGCCCTGAATATGTAAATGCAATAATAATCTGCTCTTTTGCTGTTTCTAGCTGAAGGCTGAAGTAGCTATTTCAATTTTTACTGGGTAACGAACAAACAAAACATAAACAAATGGGCAGAAAGCAGCAATGTGAGTGAAATAGTCCTAGAAAAGACCGGGTGAGAATATCCCGTTTTCTCCTACTGAGTGAAGTTTGGTACTGTAGCTCATGGATGCGAGTGAACCCAAGAAGAGCTTGGGGCTGGTATTTAGGTCCTCCCATCCCCATTTAGTCAGTCTATTTCACTTGGAGGTAAATCTTAGGAGAATGCAAGCCCCCCCCAAACCTTTCCATTTGCTGAGTATTGAAATGACAAATACTTTTATATGAAAATGTTTTTTAGATTACTGTTCCACTGATCACATGGAACAGAAATCTAGAAGCCACTCCAGGCAAAGCACATTGCTTTGCCTGACTGCTCCTAAAGGGCAAATCTATAATAGAGTCAGCAAGATACCAAGTGATGACTATAGAGCACAACAGGTTGTCATTGTTTTAGCTTTGTGGGTTTCATGTTTCAGTGGAGGTAAGTGTATTTGAGTACCTGATTTAAGGAGAACTACCTATTATCTTACAGTAGCAAAGGGGCTTATTAAGAAAACAGTTCATGGCTTGTGTTTTTGGAAGTGTGTAATTACAACTTCAGAGCCTTATAATGCTGTTCCTTTTACTTCACAGTTTTGTTTTGCATTAGTAGTGCCCTGATATAATTTGTTGGAATGACTAGTTATGCTGAATGCTGGTTTACAACTTAAAAACATTCAGTTCAACATAGAGATGGCTTGTGTACTGAGCTGGACAGTGCAATATTTGCTGCAGTCATGCCAAGTAATAACTACCCCTTAATAGGACACCAGCTGAGGATAGATTTAACTATTTGCTGTCGCAACTGTCTATGTGCAACCTTCTCATAGCTGTACAGTGGAGGCCTAGCATGTGTTTTTGGATTTTGTAGCTTACTGCTGTTCTTATGGTGACTTGGTAAAAGTAGTGTTAGTATGTTCACAGAAGACTGTGGTAGAGACCTTAGGATAAAGCCAGTCAGTGGGAACTGCCCCACTTCAAACTGTGCGTCTCATTTGCAGGGCTTAAAATCTGTCAAGGAAAACCAGAAACAATTCTGCTGTTCTGTTTATCTTCAAACTTGCAATTGATGCTCATACAAAGTGATAGACTCTTGAACAAGTCTGTCTTGTGTTGCCTGGGTCCACACAAGCAGAACAGACCCCTCTCAGGACTTTGATTCTTCAAGTACAAGGGAAATGTATACAAAGGTACAGGATGAACTAGCAGCAGCTATGAATGCTGTACCTATTCTGTTAGCTCTGAAACAGCATCTGGCAAAGTAACGGAAAGGGCCAAAAACCCTTCTAAAGCAAGAAGTGACCACCATCAACAAGGGGGAGGGGGTGGTGGGGAGAGGGAAGAAATACAAATGCAATAGTTGCATCTCTTAGCAACTTCTAGGGATCCAATAACTACCAAGTAGCTTGGAAAAGTACAATTTAGACACTTGTTTCCATGCCTCACCCAGCCACCTGCTTCTGACTAGTCTTACTGTATTCCAGTTGTTAATCAAACTTGTATGCAAGTCAATCTCAGTTTTAGGTTCAATTTTAGGACAAACAAGCTTTATCCCTGAATAGGTTTACAACAGATGAAGACTATGAACTATTTATTCTCCTTAAAAAATCCCAGAGGAGACTCAAACAACCAGAGAAAGGACTTAAAGAGTTAAATGCATTAAAAATGAATATTTTTATTGTATATACAAAAATACCACAAATACAAGAGTCAAGATGGTAGGGGGTTGACTCATAGGTTAACACGGTATAAAGTAGAGTATGTTTTTGAATGGTTCTATGAATGGACGAAAAAAGGGGGTCCTATAACCAGAAAACCCAGTATGTAACTTTTAAAAAGTAGATTTAGTATAACTTGCTCTCAGTGGATCCAAACCCAAGTTCAGTATATAGCTTTGGAAGTCTTGCCATTTTTCTGGGAGAGGAAGTCCTGAACTAACAGAACTATGATGAAGAGAGAAAATTTCATCCACAATCAAAACTGAAGCCACATCTGAATTTTTTGTTAAATTTATATGAAAAGCATGACTTAAATGTAATCGACTCCTGTTTACCTTCTGTCCCATTTTCTTGAAGAGGAGCTTGCTGTGGAGAAACTGAACAGACGTAAGTTCATCTCCATGTTGGCCTTGTTTGAGAACTTCAGCAAAAAGTACTTGCCTTCTATTTTGTCTGACAGCTTTTTTGGATTTCAATTGCAACTCCTCCACAGGAAGGAAACATTGATATGTTTCTGTGCTGACGGGTGGAGCTTAGGGAGCTGAGGGTCAAATGCTGCATGCAGATCTTGAGGCAAAGATCCTCAAATTAACCAAACTAGTTTGCTGTGAGAGTCAGGGCTTGTTTACAGGAAAAAGTTATACTGACAGCAAGGAGTTAAGCTGCTATAGTTATTCTGTTAACACTTGGATACTTATAGCAACACTTATGTATTCTTTGACAGAATATAAATTTGCTTTGGAAATGATGTAATGTAACCAGGTGATTGTTTTATTCTAGAACAAGTATTTAAATTATGCTGGTATAACTACAATGCTGCAGTCATGCCAATGCAAGTAAGAGCTTTTCCCAAGTAAGTATTAGCCCAGCACTCCAGCTGAAGGTTGCCAAATTACAGACAGACACCTATTTAGCAACTAAAACCATTTTAAATCTTCAAACTCTACGTTGTTGAAACTAGTCCCCTTATAGCTCATGCTGTACACTCCAGCTTTCCAGAGCCTTGAAGAAAATCAAGCTCAATTCGTTGTGTCACTTTTTATGACACACTACAATAGGTACACATCTAGCAATCTTTCAATTCTTATTTTGAACAGTAAATCAAACATATGTTAGATTTTTAACTTGTATTGCAAGAGACCACCAAGATTAATATCGAACTGTAAAGTAGCCTCAATGTGCTTAAGCCCCAAATGTTACCTGGAAGAATGACTTACCTTTTCAAAGGTAGATATTTAGAGCAGCTTTCCAAAATTCAACTTGGCCCTTAGCCAAGTTTAGGGGTTTCAAAAAACTAAAAATAGGCTCTTGGTATGATTAATTGGTACAAGGGGAACAAGGATCAGAAGAAAGAGTCAGTAGATTTCAAAACAAGTCTGAAAAGCTGACTTAAAAATACAATATGAGACAGATGCTTAATTCTAAACAAAAATGTTATGTTCAGCACTTTGTACTAAACTAAATCCAGTGAGAGTAAGAAGCAAGCAGCTCCATTCTTACAGACTGGTAATAGTTTTCAGTACATGATGGATATCAAGGCCACCCGCTTCAAGGGAGGCAGCCCTTTTACCAGCAAGTTACATGGGAAGATGTGGAGGTTGGGGGTGGGGTGGAAATCCTACATGAAGAGAGAAACCCAAGTGACTTGGCACAAGACCAAATCATGAGGGAAGATCTCAGAGGACGCGATCTGTGTAATGTGTCGGGACATGGGATCTATGGGACGTGTTCAGGTCTATGCAAAATTTTCACTGGTATCCTATCAGCATCTTGGGTTAGTGGCAATATATTGATCATCATATTCCTTTATACAAGTCACGGTAACTGCACAGGTCAAGCTGTAAGTTCATTAGGAACACATGCTTCAACAAGCGCTCTGTCAAACCCATTATGTTCTTCAGATTTTTTGCTAAGCTACTTTCCCTTGAACTTTGTTTATCTGTCACCCAAGGTTCAGCTGAAAGGCTTCAGAGCTGTCTCCGGCCTATTGCAAAGTACAAAAGGTAAGATAACTCGGGAGGCAGGGAGTGTCAGTAAATATTTATACAGCTGATGGGGAGAAGAAATGTAATCAACAGCCTCTGGCAGGCTTCCATGACAGCGTTAGAAGGTCCTCCAAGGATTAGGGCAGTAAGCAATAGAGGGAAAATGGCAGGTTTTCCTGCAGATGTTTGAAACTAATTCATCATCCTCTGGGGAAACGTATAAGGTCTGTGTACACAATTACCAAGGTACTTTCTTCTTATTGATTGAGATGTTGTTATAAAACTTATACAGAAACATATTATACATTACATGAATCCTGTATTTACCTGAATCCAGGATGATTTTGAATTTAAGACAACTTCCTAATAATTAGATACTATAAATGGAAAATTATAATTAGTAGGTTATTCTAAATTCAGTTCTTCTACCGCTGCAACTTCGAAATTTGGGGGGATGGGGGAGGAGCAGGAAGCCAGAGCGCCATCTGTGTCCCCCCAACCCTAGCCCCCTGCTGCTTACCTTCTGCGGCACCTCTGGCTCCAGGGCAGTCAGTAGCAGCAGCTCTGAGCCAGGTCACATTCAAGCAGGTAAACAACATTGGGGGGGGAGGGGGGGGGAGAAGAGGATACGTAGACTGCATGGTCTCCCCTGTGTGCTCCCCCACTGCGCGATCTTCCCTGCTGCATGAGCCATCCCAGCCTGGACATAGTTAGTGGCTCAGCTCTGACTGCTGCTTACCCCAGGCCAGTACTTGAATCCAAGACAAGGCTCCTTCCCCCTTCCCCAAATGGTGACTGAGGGAAAAAAATACTAGTCTTGGATTCCAATAAATGTGGTGTCACTGCCATGCTTCCATCTACAATGCACTTTCCTTAAACCATCATCTTGATATCACCATTTATCACTACGTGTTCTAAAAATTAGCTTGTCTTTACTAAAACATCAGTTAAGAACAGCTGACTTTCAGCCTGAAATGGATGTCTGATATGGATAAAGTTAACAAAGAAGGACTACATTCAAATGAGACTATATACAAAAGATTTATTAAAAATAAGTTCTTTAAAAAGACAAAAAATTGTGATGCATATATACAGCTTTGCAGAAACTCGATAACAAAAAACTGTGTGTATTGAAGTGCCCCATGTACAAGAGCATGAGCAGGGACATTGAACTGGTAGTTTCTTTTTAAATATGGCCTAGAAAAGCATGACAATTTTTTTGTTTTTTTCTTGGTTCGCTATTATAAAGGAAACACCGAAAGAGGGTTACACAGATGAACTTCAGTTATCAGCATGATGTATGCATTTAATTCAAGATACAAATGTAAGAATGTGGAGGCTGGATTTAAATTAACAGAGTATGCAGTGAATAGTTTGTAAATAGGACAGGTATTCTAAAACTTTTTATCAGCTCTTCATTTCTATGATGTATCTTAGTAAGTGGCTGTAAACTCTTAAGTCAGAAAAAGCTTAGGAACCACAAAATACTGCCAAAGTGTGTAACAGGTACATTTTCAAGATGCACTGTGGCATAGATCAAAGACTATTCTGAGATCACAAATATATAACAAAGCTGCTGGTTTTCTATTTCCACTCCACACACCTGTATGGCACCCAAATCAAACTAAATTTCAAAAAGCTATCAAATAAAAAGCAAATGATCAAATTATTTGCTTTTGGCCACTTCATGAGACTGGTCACTCCTTCCCACACCTTGAAGTTGCACTTGAAGATGCAGTTGATCAATCAGCCACTTTCCAGAGTGTATACATGTACTTTAAGAGTGAAGAGGCTGAAGGCAGCTGCAAGTTCAATTCTCAAACCATCCTTGTCACAAAGCCCAAGTAGCACATTCAGATTCTTGCAGTGCCTCTTCAGTCCCACAATTTAATAAGACCATCCCAGCCACATGTGATCACCTTGGATGTTTCATGTGGGTGCCAGACTGCACCTATACAAACTTTATCGTGTGCTTTTAACCTGCTGTAGAGTTTTGTCGTCTTCCAGTCCCATATGTTAAGTTTTCCATCTGCATCGCCTGAGATTACATAGCTGTTTTAAGAGATTAAAAATGGCATAAAAACTGTCATAACAAGTAGTTATTTTTCCATTATTTTGAGGATTACTATGAAATGCATTGAAATAATTTTTAAGTTAACACAAAAATAAAGCAAATTTTGTACTAAGAAATAGGGGGAAGAGAAAAGTCTAGTGAGCTATCCATTCCAGAATCTTCTGCTGGATGTGTACTTTCTGGTGCAAAGAATTAGCATGCATGCTGCGCTCTACGAGCATAAGCTCTTGCAGCCTGACAGTGATTCATCAACATCATCTGTGAGGTAAGTGTGCTAGGCAATGTGATTATACTGAGCACTCTGTCACTTGAATAATAGAGCATACTGGCAGGATAAGAGAAAATGTCAGAAGCAGCCTTAAGAATCTGCAGGTCTCTCCCAGCCACCCCCCCCGCTTCCCCCTCCCAATTTTGCTAAGATTTTTCCCCCCCCAGTTCTTAACCACTTACAGCACATTATGTTAAACGTGCATCCACTTCTACCACTGTTGGAGACCAGATACTGGGCTAGAGGGACAACTGTGAGATGCTTGAGGGCATGAATGCTGTGTGCCCCTGGAGGCTGCGGGGGGGCACAGTGAGCTCCTGTCAGTGGCAGGAGCATGGTGGCAGTAAGCAGGGAGCTCCCGCAGGCAGCTGCAGTGCTGTTGGCAGTGGGGGGGAGGGACTGGGGGAGAGGTAGTGAGTGCCGACCAGTGGTCGTCAATCATCCACAGACACCACCAGCGGTGTTGGAGGCAAGCGGGAGGAGGGGTGGTGAGTGGCGACCAGGGGTGCACCGTCATACTCAGGGGGTGCGCGTGCACCCCCTACGCATCACCAATGCTTGAGGGGGCATGTGACAAGGGTTTACAAAATACGGAATGGTAATGAGAAAGTAAATAGGGATTTGTTGCTTACTGTCTCACACAATACAAGAACTAGGGGTCACAAAATGAAACTAATAGGTAGTGAGTTTAAAACTAAAAAAAGGAAGGTTTTTCACACAGTGTGTAATGAAAGTGTAGGACTCAATGCCACAAGATGTTGTGGAAGCTGACAATCTAGCCAGATTCAAAAGGGGATTGGACACATTCTTGGAGGAAAAGTGAACCAGTGCTTATTGAACATAGGCAGGACCATCCCTAGTGGGGAGAATTGGGGCGACTGCCCCAGGCCCCACGCTTTGGGGGCCCTGCAGAGCTGGGCTGAGCACTGCCAGCTCTGTGTCCAGCCACTCACTATCCCACTGCTAGTACCACCACTGCCAATGGCAGCAGCAGCTTCTTCAGGTCTGGGGCCTGTGGGATCGTAGTGGGGGTGGGACCCTGCGTGGGCTGATTTGCCCTGGGCCTCGCACCCTGCTTGGGTCACCTCTGAGCATAGGTGTTAGGGCCTCTGAATCAGAACTTCCTGGACCCTAAAAGTTGGAGGCTGCAAGTGAGAGGAGCAGTGGAAAAAAAATATGGTCATACCCAATTCACTCTCCCTTTCAGCATCCACTCTCTGCCACTGTGTGACATACAGGATGCTGGGCAAGATAGATTAATGCCTGACCAAATAGATGGCAATTCTTATTGATCTGACCCAGTATGATACTGCTTATGTTCTTATAGGTACATGCTTGCTCAGTTACTTATCTACAGGATCTTAAATAGGTTTCTGTCTTCCTGAATGATTTCTCTGCAAAGTAGTAGATGGGAGTTATCTGTACAGTGTCTTGAGAGAGGTAGAAGAACTGTACAAGTTAGAACTGGAGGTATTTCAGATACATATGCATTTCCAGGAGTACTGCTTCAAGACTTCTGGTGACCATCTTGCAGCTCTTATATTGCTGCTTCCTGATTCATGGATGCCAGATTCTACTGTAAGTAAGAGCAAAGAGTATCCTGCTCCTTGCATTGTAAGACTTATACCGGGAGTAGATTGGGAGCGCAGATGCAAGATGCTATTTTTACCAGTAACCTGACCTCACATGCTCCCTCCTGCCACTTCAGAGGTGAGATGGGGGTGGGG